GTGATTCAATGTAATACGATGCAATGGAGAAAAATATGATGCTATGCAATTCAATATGGTATAGATACTTATACCATGGTATAGATATATAGATAGAAAACTTTTATTTCTTTTATTCAGACATACAGCAAAAGTAGCTTAAGTGCCATCTGACTTAACGCATATTCTTACATATTTCTTCACAAAACCAAAAGATTAAATAAAAGCAGGTGCTGTTTTAACAAAGAATAAACATAAATAAATAAAAAACTTTCACAAACAGGTCTTTCATAACTGTATTCAGATGTAAAAATATACATCTATGGGAAAAACTATTATTTGCAGTCACAGGCTTCTGTCCAGATTAACTTAATGTTCTACTTTAAGGTTTAAAGGTGACTCTCAGGACACGCCTCGCACTCCGTAGTGTTGTGATCCGTCATATTCCCGTAGCAGCGCAGCAGTCGTGATGAGAGAACGCGCTTGAGCAACAGTTCAGAAAGGAGAAATCGATCTAGTCGAACTGGACGCGCAAATGAGGCGAAATCGTGTCCATCGCACCGCGCTAAACGCGTCTCGCGCCGCAGGACCTCCAGACCCGCGTCTACGCGTCTTTGCAATGACTTAACATGGAAATCTCTTACTACAGACGCTCTATCCGCGTTTGGTGTGAACGCAGCAGTTACATAATAAAATATTGGTCACAAATGATTGGTCACTTTCTAAATAGTAAAAGTATAGCGCATCTACTAATAATTATATATGAATAAATCGTTTTTTACCGATGCAGATGTTAGAAACGATGCATCGCGATACAAATACCAACTTGTATCCGATGCACACTTATTTAAATCGATGCATCGCATCGTTAGCTTTTATGCCGATGCACCGATGCGAATCGGTGAATCTTACCATCCCTAGTAGAGAGGAACTCTTAAAACTCTGTCTTTTAAATAAGTCAAAATACATGAAACATAATTTACTATAATTAGGCTATAGCAATAGCAAAGCAGGCACGTGCACACATAGACATCAAAGGGGGCTTGAGCACCTGCCCTTTTTATTCCTGGAGAGAAAGTGCCCTTTTTTCTGAGGTGCTTTTTAAAAACAAATTTAAATAATATATATTATTGTTGGTCGTCGCTAGCCCCAACTTCTGCCTAGCCCCCCTAAAAATTTGTGATTAATGTAGGCTACAGAAATTCGTGTTCGCTTCAGTCTTGTTATTATCAGATGCGTTCTTCATCTTCATTCCGCAGCGGCGCAGAGCAGAGAGCACGTCAGAAAACAGAGGACAGGGTGTGTGTGTTCATCTGAGCCTCATTGGTCTGTCACTGCTCGTCAATGTCAGAATATTTGAGATGACCAATCAAATCAAAGTAGGCGGGCTTTATGTTCACAGACGCTGCTGCGCGCGAATTTGAACCATTTTAACAGTGCAACTCGACACGGACAGTCAAGTGCGAGATAAGTAAGTAGCTAAACTTAACATTTCATATTTGAAATTTTTTTAGGTCGTAAATGTTAAACGAATGACTAAAAATAATCAGGCAAACTAATATAGTTTTGTCTAATTTCGCCATTTTGAACTGAAAATAGGCCTATGTAACGTGACTCAAGTAATGTAATAATTAGTTTACTGTCATTGTGAGGGGACAAGACACATTAACAAAGCCGTTTTCATCATGTTCGGCACAAGATTAATAATGAATGTGTACATATTGAGAATATAATACAAATTGTAGCCTTTGGTAAATTAAAAAAAAGCTCAGCTTTAGGAGGGGAAGAGAAAGTGATGAAGAGACTGAGAAAAAAAGAAAGCGTGATGGAGATGAGAAGAGAGCAGGTATTGACAAATAATCTACTGCCCACTGACATGGTTTTAAAGCTATTTCTTATCCCTTTTTAGGGTCTTCAAACGTCTTGAAATGCACATATCAGACAAATAAAAAAATTTAACCCCCTACCAACCTCAAATTTAGGACCTCTTTGATTATAAAGCCCTGTGTCTACGGCCCTGTATTAGGCATAAGATCAATAATGAATGTGTAGCCTACATATTGTGAATGCATTTAATTAACTTAATTACCTTTAGTAGCTTTCAGTAAATAAACGCGTCTGAGAAAAGGATTCATAGGCAAAATCAACCTATCAGTTGACCCTATGTTTACTTTCTTCAATGACAGACAAAAAATGAAAAGCCTATATCAGTCAAAGCTCAGCTTTAGGAGGGGAAGAGACAGGGCAACATAAAAACAAAGAGAAAAAGAGTGTGATGATGGTGAGGAGAGAAAAATAATCAGCTGCCCACTGACATGGTTTTAAAGCTGTTATCCAATTTTTTTGGCCTTCAAAACATCTTAAAATGCACATGTAGATCAGAGAAATCAAAATTTTCTCGGGGAAAAACCGAACCCTCTTCCGTACTTCACATTTTGGACCACAGTGATTATAAAACCCTGACTTTGCATGGTAATGAAACTGATTAATAGCGAGCATTAGATCCTAAACTAGTGTTACCTTTTTTTTATTAAAAAAAAAATAATATATATATATATATATATATATATATATATATATATATATATATATATATACCCTCATTGGGGGCTTAGCCCCCCTAAAATGAAAATCCTAGTGACACCCCTGCTACAGATGCAAACAGATGGAGGATAAAACAAACTCCATCTAATTGTGAATTTTGAAGGTTTTATTTGATGATGATGATACAGTCATGCGTGAAACAATTGTGTGAGTTTGAGGAAGATAAAATTAATTAACTTTTTTAATTAAATTTTTTTAAAAGTCAGAGTTGAGTTAATATATATACCTTTTTTTCACTTGAGCCCCTGCCCCTCAAAATGTCTGTGCACGTCCCTGTAGCAAAGGCCATAATCATAAAGTGAAACATAAGTTCAACCTCAACACAAAAACAGTATCAACAATGCTTCTATTCCCTGAGAGTGAGGAAACATTTTTTTCAATCCAAAATGTTCCCACACACCGGACTTATACGACGCTGGCGCATCCTCGTTAGCCTTCCTTATCTCTCCCACTTGCCATTTCTACGCGTGATGTGACCTGCAGCACTCCATACTCCACCTTGGCTTGTTCGACTTGAACCGGCGCTGCACAGAGCGATCGGTTTATGACATCAAAGAACCGCAAGAGTGATTGAAAAGCATACGGAGCCGTCGCTCTCGCGGTACTTTGATGTTATTCACTGATCGCTCTGTGCAGCGCCGGTTCAAGTCGAACAAGCCTCATATGTATGTCCACATGTCTTATGTCGCGCGAAAAGGAAACACACGTCTGAGGTCACATACGGGCACGAGGCTACATTGCGTATGCGTCGAACCGTGAAACGCACACGCGCTCCGAACCGAGACAAGCGAACCGAACGGTTTGGGTGTTTTTTCATGTACCGTGCCACCCCTAGTATGTACTAGCCACAATAAATCCTCTTCTTTAATGTCTGTACATGACAAATAACTGTAGTAAATATCCTTTTGTTACAATACTATTTCAATACAACTCCTATTTATAATGTCCTGTTCAAACACACACAGGCAGGTCAGTGAGGTGTGTATGTGTGTGTTTGCTGACTCACTGAAAGCCGCTTTGCAGGCAGCCATTGTCTCAGCCTGTTTATAATGCTGATGCTGATGTGACCAGCATGTGATTCAGCTGGCTTCTGGATGAGAGAGACGAGGGATCAGTCTGCTGGAGTTTGTTCATGCTCAGCTTGGATAAGTTTCAGCACTCATTCAAGCAGATCAAGACCATGAAGTTTAGTCTCTTCACACACTATGACGTCATTAAACTGGCAAGTTGCTGAAGGTCATGACCCCCATGTGAGGCTTTACAGCAAACACGAACAAAGCCTGTGGTAAGAGTTATCCAGAGTTTCACAGAGGTGATGATTTCAATAATGAGATTCTATTAGCACACAGAGCTCCTTCTTTGAATTACAGAGCGTCAAACATACATTGTGAATAGACAAGTAAAAGGCTCTTCTTTGTTTCAGGCTTTGAATGAGGTCTGGCAAGCTTTAAATGCCAAAGAGCACCACAATGCCTGAGAGCCAATGTGGAGTGCACAAGACACATTTTATGCTCTTATTTGGTTTGGTTGATTCATTTTATTCGATTCATGTGACCTCCTAAATGTGGCTCATTTTAGGTACTTGTCTGTAACAGATACTTAACAGCCAACTGTTCTAAACTTACCTTTTTATCGTATCATAACGTAGTCAACTAATTTTATAATATCACTTAATTGATATTTTGTTAGAAACATTTTTTAACTTCCATTTTTTTTTAAATATACATATCAAAACACATTTCCAGTGTATTTTCACATATGAAAGTGGCCCCAATCTAAACTGAAAATGTCAGATTCACCATTTGAGCAACATTCAACTGTGTTGTGAATGTTGCCTGAGACCGTTTTTTTTTTTAAACTGGGGTCCGGGGGCCCTCAGGGGGTGTTAGGGGTTCTGTGAAAAGTTCAGAGAAAATTAAATTTAGCAAATAAATCAATACAACCAAATTATTATGATATTTATTTATAAATAAATAATATAAAAATGTCATTACATTAACAGAATTTGACATTACTGTTTTATTCTGTTTACTAAAGACTGGTCTGTAATCATGAGATTAATGACAGTTACTTTGCTATATTTTATGTACATACATGCATACATATTTCCAGATAATGTACACATTTCTAACATTTTTTTTTACTAAACAAATTGGTCTTTAAACATGATTATGTATATGAATTAGGAAAAGGGTCTCTTACAAAGAGAACCTCATATTAAGGGATCCTTGGCATTAAAAAGTTTGAAAACCCCTGGCCTGAGAGACCTACTCAAAATCTAGTTCTTCAAATAATTTGCCAAGGACCAATAAAAAGCAAATGGCAACGCGTCACATTCATGGCAGCTGCACATCTAGAAGGGAAAAAAATCCAGTATGAATTCTGTCTAAACTGTATCCATCATTGTTTTTCCTCAGTTCGTGCCACACCCATGCCGGCTGACACTGAATCACAGCACAGCTCTCGCTCGGATGAGCAGTCGGATAGCAGGACTGAGCATTCAGATGAAGATGCAGCTGATAAGGCCCCCAAACGCACTGCAAGCGTCAGAGCAGCCAAGAAACCAGCCGCTGCCAAGACAGAGGTTTGTGCTCTACCACCATCTTTTTTTTCTCGTTTCTTTTACTCATAGACAGGGCCCAAAGCTAATTTTTGCCACTCCTGCCAACGGCGGATGTCTTAATTTACCAGCCATAAATATTTTTTACCGGCCATGAAACGGTTTCTTTTTTGCTCGAGTAATAAATAGTTCCCTTTTCGCATCTTCTTGCACTTGAATGTTTAAATTGGCCAGGCTTAAACTTTTGGGACGATGCAGCACTGGCCCGCCAACCGTCCCGAGTGTCGTTCATGTTCTCACAACACTGTATTGTTAGAATTCATTAGTGTTAATTTTAAGCCCTGCTCATAGACACGCGCTGATTCTAATTAGACAATGGATGCAAATGTCTTGACAGTGTCCTGTACTTCTGTTTACACAAGCTGTATTATTTACTGCACATGGTTTTGTTGTGAGTGTTGGGGCTATTTCAGCATTATTCAGGAAAGCTTCTTAAAGGGGTTCACCTAAAAATAATAAAAATTGTAAAAAAAAAAAAAAAGAACTTCTTCCATGGACACAAAAGTTATAATTAGCAGAATGTTCATGCTGTTCTTCTTTAAAACTCTGTGAAAACTCAATTGAAGTGGCTCATACATCGTGTGCACTATATTTCAAGTCTTCAATTCTGAAGAAATATGAAAACTACTGGAATGAGAAAATAAATGTTCCTGGCTTAGATGTTTTATTTGCCATACACACAATTCAGAGCTTACTTCACTAGTAGTTTATAATATGCGTTTTCAGATCTCTGAAATACAGTGAATTCAGAAAGCATTCAGACCAGTTCATTTAAATAGTCACATTTTATGTTGCAACCTTGTGCTAAAATACTCCAATTTATTAGGTTTTTTTCACATTAATCTACACTCCACATGCCATAATGACAAAGCAAAATCATATTTGTGATGAGCTTATCTCAGGTGCATCCCATTTCCATTGATCTTGGAGATGTTAATACCCTTTGATTGAAGTAAATCTGTGGCAAATTCAATTAACTGGAAATGATTTGGAAAGGCACAAACCTGACTAGACACAGCTCATCGTCAGGTTGCCCAGACATACTGAGCAATTGAGGGAGAAGGGCCTTGGTACAGAGGTGACCAACTTGATGGTCGATCCGGTTGAGTTCAGAGATCGTGTGGAGATGGGAAGAGTAATCAGAGCAGAAGGACAACAATTACTGCAAAACTTCACTGGTCTGAGCTTCATTACAGAGTGGGCAGCTGGAAGCCTCTCATTCTTCAAAAAAAAAAAAGCACCTAAAGGACTGTGAGAAACAAGATTATCTTATATGATGAACTTCAATTCCCATGGTCATGTGTGGAGGAAACAGCACAGTACCTTCATCCATCCCAACGGTGAAGCATGGTGGCGGTAGCATCATGCATTAGGGGTGGTTTTTTTTTTTGCGGCAGGATCTTGGAAACTGGTCTGGGTAGAAGGAGGGCTGAATGCAACAAAATACAGAGATATCCTTAATGAAAACCTGCACTTTAACCCAATCAAACATCTCAGGAGAGACCTGAAAATGGCTGTCCATCAACCTTACCCATCTAATCGGACAGAGCTTGAGATGATCTGCAGAAAAGACCAGAGAATTGACCAAATCCAGATGTGCACAGCTTACTTGCATCATACCCAAAAAGACTTGAGGCTGGAATCACGACCAAAGGTGCTTCAACTAAGTGCTGAGTTAAATTGCCTTACTGTCTCTTACAACAGGTTTACATGCAATGTCAAAATACACTTTAATTTTCTCATAATATACATTTCACTACGGTTCAATAAAAGATTTAGTCTCTCTAATTTTTTCCTTTTCGAGAGCCTACCCCGCTCTGATAGGTAGTCAGTTGTGATTGATCAACTGAACCCAAGCAGTCATTACCATATCTGAATTTCAGCTCTGGATCTTCCTCAGCACTTGATGCACAGTGATACAAACAGTAACTATGGCGTCAGTTTTACCGTATCAGTTCCAGCGAGAGTCCTCATCCTTTAGAAGTTAATGCGAAGTGGATTTGCTTTCACAGAGCAGAAAACAGGGCCTTTTTGACATGTCAACAACACGAACCAAACTCTTCCAGGCCTCAGCCACAACTACAGTGTTTGAAGATCAAAGTGCATTGTTCACGGGCAGGCAATGAAGACCATAGGCTGGCATTATGCAAACAAACCTACATAGTTTTGAGCAGGAAGTAAGACTGGAATTACTGACAACTTGTTTCAGGGAGTTCAAAATTGGTTCTTTCTTTTGGGAGACAATAACTCTTTTGATCTTTGAAACTTTGCAGACCTTCTACATTCACAAACAGCCGTATTACACACTACATGAAAGGTAATCTCTGAAAAAGCATAATAGGGTCACATAATAGGGCTCTGAATACTTATGCCAATGTGATATTTAAGTTTTTTTTCTTTTTGATACAATTGCAAATCCATTTTTTTCTTTATCATTTTGTCCTTATGGGTTATGGAGAGTAGATATAAAAAAAAAATATGTATAAAAAAAATGTTTTTAAAGGTGTGGTCACATTTAGCATTTGAGCTTTTATGCATAAATTTTCCCAGGTGAAATCCAGTCATTTCAGTAGGAATCCACATTATCTGGAATTTTGCGTGAGGGCAAAATATTTTGCAACCGGTTCAAGTTAGTTATTTGGATTCACTTAGTTGATTAACACAAAACCGCTTGGTTTGAAAGTGACTTCTGTGTGAGCAGTGCTTCATACTTCGCTACACTATTGACCTTTTTGCATTTTGATAATGTGATCACACCTTAAAGGGATAGTTCACTTTGAAATTAATTTTTGATATGTTTTAGCTTACCTCAAGGGCATCCAAGATGTAGGTGTCTTTGTTTCCGCAGTAGTTTCAATTTTGATATTTTTAGGTCAAACCGTTCTTGTCTGTCAGTCATATAATGCAGGTCTATGGTCACCACCTCAAAGAGCATGCACAGAGAAGTCCAAATTAAACATGATTTAATGACTCGTAAATGTAAGTACACATTGATGGCCTAAGACACGAAACGAGCGGTACAAGACACTACTGCGGAATCAAAGACACCTACATCTTGGATGCCCTTGAGGTAAGCTAAAACAGATCAAAAATTAATTTCAAAGTGAACTATCCCTTTAAAGGCCCTTTCACACCGGACGCGTAACGGAAAAAGCGAAACGGAAAAGCGAATAGTTCGCGTCAAAACCATTCACATCAGCCGCGATGCTAATTTGCGACGTTCAGAACTTTAACATTCCAAAACTTTCGCGCCGACAGCTGAGAAAACACGGACACTTCACCACCATCATCATCATCATCCAGTGAAGACGAGCTTTTCGTTTTCTTTAAAAGACAGAAAAGATTTTGTGTGCACCCAATCTTAAAGAACAGATAGTCTGAAGGGGAGTATGCTAATCTTGTAAAGTAGCTAAAACTTTGCCACAAAGAACCGGCCAAAGTAAGGATTATGCATTAAACATTTGAATTGTTTATTAATAAACTAGTGTTTTCTGTCCGTTTTCGGTATGAGACGCGCTTCAGTTCTATTATTCCTATTAATCCAGGCAATTTGTTGATGAAAAATTGATTAACATTAAGATACAATTTATACGAAAGGAAATTCACTTTAAAGAAAGGCTTTCTACAAAACAAAACTTAAAGACCCACTCCGATGAAAATAATGTTTTTCTAGGTGTTAACATGTTCTTGTGGCATTTTTCTTATGTTAGAGGACATATCTTGAGAAAAATAAGCTCAAAGTTGTATTTCTGAGTATTTCTACATTCAAATGGCTGTGAATCAGTAGCAGACGCTAAAATGCCGTTTAAAATAGACTGGAGTTGTGACGTAGTAACTCCACTGGGCGGGGCCACAAGCTTGTTAAAATTAATCGAAAGTGCCCCTCTCAAACAAATATCAATGATAATATTGTTTTCAATAAAACAAAATGCATTTGATTATAATTAACATGACAATGTGACAAAATTCACGTTTACTTGTATGTTTCTGTCGGTTTGAGCTGTCGTTGCCATGACTCGTTGCTATGGGTTGTGTCACTTGCGTGTCTTGCATCGGACTCAGTCTCCGTTTTCGAGGCCGAGGGTCAGTAATGTGGACGGCAGGAGCGCATAATCGTTGCAAAAGTTATGCTTTTTAAAACGAAAACGCACTGTACGGCTGGATAGCTCCAATATTGCTCTCAATTTTTGTTGCACCGGTAATGACAGGTTGGGAGTGTAAGCTAGCGGGAGAGACAGAGCTCTCAGCAACGGGGAGGGGGAGGGTCATCTCCGTGCCAACGGCTCCGCCCACAACGCAGAGGCGAATTGCTAATGAGCTACTGCCGCTCTGCTGAAGCAAAGTCCCAGAAAACGGCACAGGTTTTGTGAGTTTGGCTAAAAATGGCATAATCATAATTTAAAGACCACTGGGAATGTTTACAAATAGCTCAAAATATGATCGGAGTGGGACTTTAATAAGTGGCCAAAATTATGTCTGACCCATTCCAAATGTTTTCGATATATTGGGCTAGGGATGTGCATCTCCATAGCTGAGGCCGATGCGATACGCATCTCGATGCATAGCCAACGATACGATACATTAATAATAATGAATAGTCACAAATATTATACATCATCAGCAAGCACTTCATCAACTCGCCGGAGACACCAACTATCCCAGCTATGTTATCCCATGCCTCGTTCTTTTGGTCCCTAAGCAAACACCGCCATGTCATAAATGATAGGGTATGCGTGCGTTGAGATGCGGAATAGGCATCAATATAAAAATGCTGTCATTATATAAGGTTTCTAGTTTCAATGTATTGCTTGTTTTTAGTTTACATTTCATGTTGTGACACTTCTCTTCTCTCGCACATAATGCTGCTACGTCAGAGAAGCCAAAGCGTCAACAAGCTTCACCTTTGTTTCCATGTATGTGATTGGCTGAAGCCTTTTCTGTCGCTGCAAAAGTAAAAAAAAATCGACATCGAAGCGAAAAAAATGAGTCGTTTTTTCGCCGCAGCACATTCGCGTTCGGCGTGGAAGCACTCATTACACAAACAGCTGATCAAAAAATAGAACTATCACGCAAATTATTTGTGCGTCAAAATCGCGCCCAGTGTGAAAGGACCTTAAGGCTGCATCAAAGCAAAATAAAGGGCTCTGAATACTTTCTGAATGCACTGTAGTCTGTCACATCTGCCTGTTTGAAGGTAAACCAGAATAAGATAACTGTTTATTTTCTGTATACACATTTTCCATGCCTTGTGTGTGTGTGAGCTGTCATTAGGACATGCCTTCACTAAATTGTTTATCCAGTTGGTCTTGTTATAAATGTAAAATTGTATTAATGCTATTTTTTCTTTTTCTTTTACCACCATTTCTTGCTGTCATCCCCAGCAGACCACCAAGACATTGAAGAAACCGCCAAAGAAGAAAGCCACAACCACGACCAACAACATTGCTGAATCACCATGAGTCACACTGCGTTCATCCATCCCTGGAAAATACACAAACATCACATGCTTCCTCACACTAACAACCAAATATTTGTGCTCTTTGCTATAGATCCGTACTGATACACACATACACATCGCCTGGGGCTGTTTTTATCTAATAGGTTTAATGCGGTGAATATATTTAGACATCAGGCTTCATGCGTTTATTTTCCACGTTATCACTCCCGTGCGTGTGTTAAGTAAGGATGGGTCTTGTCTTATTCTCTGTAGGCCTTAATACTAGAGAGCATCTTTGTAAAGCATGAGACCAGAAAGCAGTGCCTGCACATGATCGCACATCAACACTTTTGTTCCTTATAACCCCAGATTCCATGCCAGAACTCTGTTTTCCATAATGGAGGCCGGTTCCCTTTTCTTTTTCTTTTCTTTTCTTTTTTTAGCATGTAGGCCACATGCTATGGGACGAACAAGAACAATTGGGCTATTAAATGAATAGAAACAGACTTGATTTACACGAGTACAGCGTCCGTGGAGAGTTCTGGAGGCGCCCAGAGCAGTTCTGTTCTTATTCCGGGCCACAGAATATCCAAAGTCTTGAGATTTGTTGTGAATATTCATGATCGAAGAGGTCAGATGTCTCCTGGAGGCTGCAGGCTCTCAAACGCTCCTGCCATTAATAGCGCTTTTGTCAGCTGGGGCTGGAGGCGTTCAACTCGCATAAGCAGTTCCTTGTGCTAATTTTACATTCGTGTAGCGTGATGTTACACATTTTGAAAGTATTATAAGACATTTATGTTAACTGGTAGATCAGATAGCAGGTGTCATCTGGTGTTTTGGTAGGGTGCAAGATGAAACAATCACATGTTGGCCACAGAAAAGGGGAAGATCCCTCAGTCTTGAGTAATCTGCGTTTCAATGCTGGAATTTTTCTTGTGGCTTGCTTCGGAAACTCAAATACTCCATATCAGTTTGTAATTATAGTGAGCAGACTCGGTTGGCGCAGCACAAAGCATGGCATCACCCGAGAGTTAGCAGGTGGTTAAGTGTGGTGAAATGATCAACCGTCGTTGTTGAAAATCATAGGTGCTTTTATAGAAAATGCTCCAATTTTTTTTTTTTAAAGACATCTATAGATTTTTTGTTGTTGTTGTATTGGACCCTGTGAACCAAGTTCATTTGAAATTGCATGTAACCCCAAATCCAAATGTGTGCAGTTGTGTTTCCCAGCACAGCTGTTCAGAACTGAAGGATTTGAAGTGTGTGGTACTGATCTTGAGTTTGAATTACGGTTTTGCAGTTCTACTGAGCGCGGTTAGGGGGCGCTGTTGTACAGGAAAAGAGCACAGTGCCCTGCATGTCGGGTTAAATGATTACATGGATGGGGAATGCTTTTGAATCAGTCTATTTAAATCAGTTGGTTATTTAGCTGAATTTTACCTGAAAATGTTTATTTGTATAATACTATTGACTGTACAAAATTTCTGCCTTACTCGGATAGGCTTTTTAAGTTATTTTTCTTTCTTTCTTTACATTTAATTGGTCACTTTTGTAGTGTAGGATGTACAGAAACATGTTAATTTCTTGTTAAGTGCTATTTGTTTAGTGTATATTCGTGTGGTGTTTTAATTTAAAGTGTTTTGTCTTCTCTGCCTTATGTTGTAGAGAAATTGAACATGGGGGCAGTTGCATTTGAGAAGAACTGATTTTCTTTTAACAGTGCAAAACGTATGTCAGTCTCACATTAGATGCTCAAACATGTAGTTAATAGCAGATATATGTTTCTGTAGGAACACGGTTTAGAAATAACATGCGGTAATGCAGATCTGTTGTCATGACGCACTGCTGTCTTAACTATCATGATCTGTAATTCATTGTTGCTGATTGGCAACTTGACATTCTCTGTCTCAGTCTCTTGAGTAATTCTTTTTAAAAGAAACTTGAGTTTTTCTTTTTCTTTTAATTAAATGCTAGTGTGGTTGGTTTCTCACCAACCCACACAAAAATGAAAAATGACAAGTCAGTCTCACTCTTTTCTTTGTTCCTGTTTTTCGCTTCTTTTCCCCCTTTGTTCAGTATGTCTTATTTGCATAATCAAAAATGACTAACTTGTTTTTAATTCACCGATGCCTGCATTGAGTGAGATGTGACAAATGAAACGTATTCAGTTTTTCTTTTATATTTTTGGTGATGTGTTGGAAATTGGTTTTATTGCATACAGATTTGAACTGTGAGAGAATAGTCAACATTAATATACTGTTTGTGCCAATTCTCAATGCTCTTAATATATTAAAAGAATGAAAAAGAAAGAGATTGCTGCTAAGTGTGTACTAACTGACCTTGAATTATTATTCAATAAAAATGCAATTACATCCCTAATGTATTATTCATTTAACTCATTTAGTATGTAGTTTTTCATACAGTAGGTGAAATGTACTAGGCATTTGTATCTGGCAAACCTGCAGTAGTTCTGTAAAGCTTCATTCTTTTTTTTTTTTGTTACTTCAGCACGTCCAGTCCACGTGCCATTCTTGAGGCACAAGAATAATAACTGCACCACCTTTAGCTGCATTAACAACAACCATTCCTGTCATTTAATATCTGCCTTTAGTTTTTCCACAAAGAACTCTGTTTTGTTATGGTTTAGGAGCTGTAAATTCTCAAGCTTAAAGTGTTAGTTCACCCAAAAATGAAAATTCTGTCACTAATTACTCACCCTCATGTTGTTCCAAACTCAATAGACTTTCGTTCATCTTCGGAACACAAATGAAGATATTTTTGATGAAATCTGAGAGATTTATGTCCATTGACAGCTACGCTGCTACCACTTTGACACTTCAAAAAGTTCATAAAGAGATCGTAAAACTAATCCATATGAATCGAGCGGTTTAGTCCAAATTTTCTGTTAAGACTCGATTATATGATTAACAGATTTAATTTAGGCTTTTATTCACATATAAACATTGATCGGCAAACATAAACAGAAGCTCAACCGAACACACAAGAACAAACCTCTTGCTGAAGCTCAAACGTGCTGCGTAACATGAGAATGAACCTCATTGGTTCTTGCTGAAGCTCAAACGTGATGCGTAACACGAGAATGAACCTCATTGGTTCTTGCTGAAGCTCAAACGTGCTGCGTAACACGAGAATGAACCTCATTGGTTCTTGCTGAAGCTCAAACGTGATGCGTCACACGAGAATGAACCTCATTGGTTCTTGCTGAAGCTCAAACGTGCTGCGTAACACGAGAATGAACCTCATTGGTTCTTGCTGAAGCTCAAACGTGATGCGTAACATGAGAATGAACCTCATTGGTTCTTGCTGAAGCTCAAACGTGATGCGTAACATGAGAATGAACCTCATTGGTTCTTGCTGAAGCTCAAACGTGCTGCGTAACACGAGAATGAACCTCATTGGTTCTTGCTGAAGCTCAAACGTGCTGCGTAACACGAGAATGAACCTCATTGGTTCTTGCTGAAGCTCAAACGTGATGCGTAACACGAGAATGAACCTCATTGGTTCTTGCTGAAGCTCAAACGTGATGCGTAACACGAGAATGAACCTCATTGGTTCTTGCTGAAGCTCAAACGTGCTGCGTAACACGAGAATGAACCTCATTGGTTCTTGCTGAAGCTCAAACGTGATGCGTAACACGAGAATGAACCTCATTGGTTCTTGCTGAAGCTCAAACGTGATGCGTAACATGAGAATGAACCTCATTGGTTCTTGCTGAAGCGCAAACGTGCTGCGTAACACGAGAATGAACCTCATTGGTTCTTGCTGAAGCTCAAACGTGATGCGTAACACGAGAATGAACCTCATTGGTTCTTGCTGAAGCTCAAACGTGCTGCGTAACACGAGAATGAACCTCATTGGTTCTTGCTGAAGCTCAAACGTGATGCGTAACACAAAAATGAACCCCATTGGTTCTTGCTGAAGCTCAAACGTGATGCGTAACTTGAGAATGAACCTCATTGGTTCTTGCTGAAGCTCAAACGTGCTGCGTAACACGAGAATGAACCTCATTGGTTCTTGCTGAAGCTCAAACGTGATGCGTAACACGAGAATGAACCTCATTGGTTCTTGCTGAAGCTCAAACGTGATGCGTAACATGAGAATGAACCTCATTGGTTCTTGCTGAAGCGCAAACGTGCTGCGTAACACGAGAATGAACCTCATTGGTTCTTGCTGAAGCTCAAACGTGATGCGTAACACGAGAATGAACCTCATTGGTTCTTGCTGAAGCTCAAACGTGCTGCGTAACACGAGAATGAACCTCATTGGTTCTTGCTGAAGCTCAAACGTGATGCGTAACACAAAAATGAACCCCATTGGTTCTTGCTGAAGCGCAAACGTGCTGCGTAACACGAGAATGAACCTCATTGGTTCTTGCACGTCAAGCGAACATACCTGAGCTTCCGTTTACCACAACTGATGTGTGAGTTGATGAATGTTTATATGTGAATAAAAGCCTAAATTCAATCTGTTCATCATATAAAGTGATCGAGTCTCTTCAGAAAATTGGGATTCATATGGATTAGTTTTACAATCTCTTTATGAACTTTTTGAAGCATCAATGTGGTAGTTGCGTAGCTGTCAATGGAGGGACATACATCTCAGATTTAATAAAAAATATCGTCATTTGCATTTCGAAGATGAACGACATCAGGGTGACAGAATTTTCATTTTTTGGTGAACTAACACTTTAAACTGCTAGTTTCAGTTGATTCTGCATTTCTGTTAGGTTCTAATATTACATTTTTGTTGATGTAAAAAGCATTCTGTCAAAAAGCTGTAGGAGGTTTGACAAGATTTCGAACAAGATGGGGGAAGATGCTAACCTGGCCCTAGCCAGATGAATTTCGCTCCGCCTAGCTTCACTCACATCCATCTGGAACCTCTTCCATTGAGAGTGATTTCTCCAACCAACTTTATGGTTTAGCCAATCAGGACGCAGGGCGGGAGTTTCATAGATGTGACGTAGTGGAGAAGCGACCGTGAGACTGTTTTGATTCAGACAACAATGGCGGCTCGCATCGAGGAAACAAGCGTTAACATTGATGCTGTTAACATTGATTTCATCCGTGTTGTCCAATCTACCTAATATTGTTTCATTAAAAGAACATCAGAGAACGGCTCTTAAGGCTTTTGTTGGTGGAAACGATGTTATATAGATCAGTGCCTTCTCCCGACCGGATTCTTCAGCGTCACGGGTTGGCTTCGGTGTGAGTGGTTGAAATAGCACGTCGATAAAGATGACAGACAAGTGGCTTATCCAATCATATGCAAGGATTTTTGATAAGGCCCAGCCTTCTGAAACGCCATTTCAATGGATCGGTTCCAGATGGATGTGAGTGAAGCTAGGCGGAGCGAAATTCATCTG